TGCGACCCTCACCACACTCTGGTGAAAGTGATTAAATAAATAAATAAATGAATCTGGTGTATTTGAGCAACCAGCGACCATGCAATGAGTTTTTCACATCATTTTACAGCAGTAGACACATGTTCTTATATAAGAAGTTAACATTCGTTCTTGTGGTGATGTCACTGAGAGGTAGTAGGTCGGAGACTTGGCCCAGTAATTCTCTCCCGGCCTGAAGTCAAAAGGGTGTGGAGTAACTTTGAGGAGATATATCTCGGGAAATATTTAATCAATCGCAAAAATTTTTTTGGAAATTAATCCTGTTAACACAAAGAATCAAAATATATATAAACCTCAGGGGGTGAATAGGCACTTTAAAAGGTTTGCAATATTTTCAACTCGTATTTTGATTGCCTTGTAGAGTTGCTCTACGTTATTTTTATCTATGTCCAGGTGCCGCATCTCACAGCAAAATAATATGAGTTACTTTAATTGTTTACCCTCTTGCTTGGCTTTTCTGCTTTTGATTAAATCTTGTTTGTTTTATTTTGGTTTTTTTTGTGGCATGTTATAAAAGTGAGGCTTTGTCTGATGCCAAAAGAGCTGTTTGTCTCAATCCTGAGTGGGAAAAGGTTAGTAGAAAATTTAGCAGTGTGTTTACAAATTATCAAATTTATTATCATTTCAATCTACTTGCTCATCATTCTCCATCGTATCTTAGAGGAGAAATGCAGCCCTGGTGATGTGTCTTTCTTTCTTGCTGGTGTAGTTTCATGCAATTTATTCTGTATTTTCTTTTTTAACAGTGGAGACTTGCATGGATGCTAGCTGGCACTCATGGATCCTCATGATAACTGCTAGATTTTAGTTTGTATTTATCTTAATCTCAGGGTCATTACAGATTCGCACAGGCATATTTTGAACTTGGATTTACTGAGAAGGCTATGGCTGTAAACTCACTTGCTCAGAAGTGTTGTTCATCCACACTTAGCTTGCTCTGCCAGTCAGTGGCGTTCAGAAAAGGTTTGTCTTTGTGAGTACTTTAATCAAAGACTAACAAGGTTATAAAGCCAAAAGTGCTTTATAGATGGAAAATGTGTCACTCATGTTTTAACACCTAGAATTAGATTTTTAATGTGCATTTAAGTATGATCGATTTTAAGATTGTGAAAGTCTTTAAAACAAGCGGCATCATGATATTGACAAAGTTCAAATCTTACCAAAATCAGTGTCTGCATTTATGTCTTACATTTATGACTCAGAGATGGAAAAGTCAGCAGCAACAAACACAGCTCAGTGTCGCAGCTTAAGCAAAGGACAAACTTTAGATAAGGGTGGTCTTCAACATGAAGGTAACTTACACTTTAACAATGGTCTTAACAGTTCAACTCTCAAGAATTGATTAATTAGTTATGAGAATGTGGTGTTGAAACAAGATACCAACTTCTACTTGATGAGTTTTAGTATTCTCATTACTCGTTTGCTGAATAATGTATCATTTTATTTTAGAGAGAAGTTACATGTTAATCACCTCTGGGAGTTAAAGGGTTTAAAAATATTACTTGACTAAACATAAGATGACAGCATTAATAACCTGCTGTATACACTGAATGCAAATATGGCATCTAATTTGAATTGCCATTGTTCTGGACTCCCTAACCTCGTCTTCATGTGGAAACACAAAATGATTATCACACGTGTGAGAGGCTAGTGAGTTCATAACAATGGAGGGCAATTCAAATTCGATGCCATATTTGCATTCGGTGTATAGGTTCAAGGGATTATTTTACATTTCAAAGGATGCAACAGTTGATGAATAAATTGCTTCATCAAAAGCTATTAATTATCAACACAAAGGTGAAAAAGGTAAAGAACAGCCTAAGTGCTGCTTACTTTTGAAAGAAACTGGAACTTTGATGAAATCAATGCTTGCCATAACACAACTGAGAGTTCAGCGACAGGTGAATTTCAATTTGTTTGGCCTCTGTAGCTTCAACTATGTGTGGAAATCCTTCCTCTTCTAAAGCTAAAGTGGGAAGTAAAAGAAACTGGAAACTTGCAAATGAAAACAGGAAAAGGCATACCAATGCTTCATCAGTTGGCAGCAGTACAAGTCAAATGTTGGAAAGTGTTAAAGATTGTGCAACTGCTGGTAGGTTCATTTGCAGATGATGGTTGTTTAAGGGTTTTAAAGATTAAAATTTCTAAACATTTTAACTGATGATTGTTTGAATCACTTTTTGTTTGAGTCACTTTTTTTTTTTTTGTAGTGATGATATGCTAAAACAGTTTTTGGACTGGTTGTGTGAAAATTGCCCTGTTCCATAAATCATGTGTATTGTGGTACTATGGAATGTGTCATATGCAAAATAAGTTTTAGTTCTGTTTATCTAGTATGAATCCTTCAACATTCTAACTTCAGTGTGCATATTTGGTCCACCACTTTAGTCAGTACTTTATCATCTTAGCCTTGATAGGGCACTGGATGTACTCTAACTTATACTTTTTAATATTCTCTTTGTTGTAACTTTTTCTGAGCAAGAGTGAGTACAAATAAAAGATTGTTGTTGTTCAAATATGTATCACATCTGAACCGGAAATCAAAGAAACTCTTAACATAGTCACGATGATCTTGAAATGTTCTGGCGTGACAGCAGAATATTCCCCTCACTGTTCTCTATACATTTCCTAAGGTAGAGCTTCTTCAGTTGGTGATCATTTCCTTTATTCTCTTGGCCTTAATGTGTGATTCAGGGGGGATATTGTAAGGAGAAATTAGATGCTGGTCACTCTTGGGAAGTCAAAGGGTTAAATTAATATGGCTGATTTAAAGAGTTTTTTTTTCTTTGCAGAGGTTTTGGATGAAGATGATAAGAACTTTGAAAGTCATAGCAGTAAGGATGACAACAAAGACTCTGACTTATCAAACTGCAACTCCCTCCCAGGTCTCATCTGTGCCAACAGTGATGATGATGATGATGATGATGATGATGACATGGATGAAAGTTGTGGTGGCTCTGTCATGTCCAGCCTCCCCTCGTTGGCCTCTTTAAGTGACTCAGACATGGATTCACGATCAGACTGGGAACCTGACTGGGACAGTGATGGATTTTATGACTCAGATGAATGTTGCTGTTCAGGTATGACTGTTGTGATTATAGAGATGATGTTGAACCACGTGCATGCTAGTGGCAAACTGCAAAAGTTGGATCTAGATTTGGAGTGGAAGAAAATTAAAGAAAATATAAGTAAGAAAAAGTAGGAAAATTAAGGGAATTCTCAGGTTGGAGTTTTCCTCCATGTGTGCAGTAGATTTGGTTACCGTAATTTCTGGCCGTTTACCCACACGGCTGATTACCCACACCAGCCGATTATTGCATGCAGCGAAAAAAAAAGTCAACAGATTACCTGCACTGGTGGATAACCCGCACCTTAAAAACAAAGGAAATTTGTACAAATGTGCTCTACAATTCACAACATTGCATACTTGACAGAATGCGAATTCGTGGCCACATTTTGTGCGAATGATCGTTCAGCGCCATGTTGATTTCTCAAAAAAATCAATATCTCTAGTTTTAAAACGGGAAAATTCTCCTCAGCTGAAGCTAGTGTTAACTGGAAGTTTGTTACTGATGCACCGGTTATTCTCGGTTTATTTTTGTCACCATCAAGGCTTTGTTTACACGTGTGCCGATAGAAATTTGTTCGTTGTGCAACTAATTGTGCGTGAAATAAACTCGAGTTGGCATCATGTTTGTGAGCCGCTTTTTAGCACTCTTAATACAATAAAATTCATCTGAGAAGTGGAAACGCAGGTAGGTGAGAATTTTCTTCAATTCAACTGCCAGTAGATTTAAAAAAAGTCACATGACCCGCGCCTCCCTATTACCCGCAGTGGCGCGTGTTTAAGGCCAAATCAATAGATTACCCACAGGTAAACGGCCGGAAATTACAGTAACTAAATTTATCAATTTGTGACCGAGGCAGGTTCTGATGTTGTTATTTTAACAACGAGACAGACTTTAAGCCACAATAAAATTTATTTATACAGGAAAGTACAAAAGAAATAATACTGATAAAAAGAAAGGGTGATTGCAAGCTAAAAGAAATAATAAATGACAAATAACAAATCAATAGTTTAAAATAATGAAATAAAACAATGCAATCGATTGTCATACAATAGCAAGGCACTAGCAAGACAATTTCAAAGCATTGCATGACAGAAGAGTAATCATTGTGTGACACTTAAAAGACTTAATCCTTTTAACCAAACATAGAACTATTGAATGGTGGGCTATTCTTAGAATTATACATGAAATGACTGAAAACAAGTCAATACTGATAAAGCAATAGCTCAAAACAACATAACATTAGATAAGACTAATTTCAATCACAATTTCATATTTTCCTTTGACTTAAAACTAGGAAGACTGGCAAAATCTCATTCAGTGACAGGACAACATCTGTCATTACTGATGAACTAAACAATAAAGACTAGTGAAATATCTGATTTCACCGATGAACTTTAAGTCAAGTATACAGATAAATGCAATGTTCTGAAAGCTGAATGCAATCTTGACACATTTTGAACATGAATCAACTAATACAAGGATTCAAGCAAAGACTAAACAATTAGATTGAGATAAGTGCACATGAACCATATTATTCTTGAACTCAAACTGTAAGACATAAAATAATAGGTCAAATGTGACATACCAAATCCTCAGTAAAATAGGTCACTAACTTGGTTACATGTACTGGAGTTACTTTTTTGTGACCAAGAGGTTCTGAGCTTTGTAAGTGCTGGTCTTGACACTCTGAACTACTGAGTTAAACTAACTAACTGTACTTCTCTTATAAGGAATCGAACAATAGTAGGAAATTCTCTAAAATTTTGGAAGTTAGGTGTGATCATTCTAAAGGAAATCTATGATGCAAATCCTGTGTGTATGACAATTTGGTTATCATAGGAAATAGTTTCTGAAGATGTAATTCTAAAATTATAACAAAAAATATTGCAATGTCATGCACAATTATTGTGAGCCTGGTCACAAATTGTTATTGATTTCAACTCATGTTAGCCATCCTTGAATTTGTGTATATTCAAATTCCCTCATGCATTTACTTGTAAGTCACGATTTTGAAACAAAAAATAAAAGGAGAATAGAGAGGTAGAGCATCGGGAACAATTTTCTGAATCCCAAAAATTAGTGATTTATCAATCTTAGTACAACTTGTACAGCTAATTGATGTCTACATGGATGTGTGTTTGAAAAAAATATAAATAAAAAACACAACAATGAACGATGAACAACAGAAAAACAAATCAGTACTGAAGATGCATGATGTCTTGTAGCAATGTTTGTTAGAGCATTATAAGCATGTTAACACGTTAATAAAAATCAGTGTTTGTTATTCTCAGATTATTCTAGCGACGACCTGTACAGTGATAGTTTGTACAGTGATAGTGACGAGGACGAGGATAACAATATTGAACCAGAAAGGTGATGATCTCCCTTTAATATATCATGACAGTTATGTTTTAGCCTTGTTTTTGGCTGGGACTCTTTACACTTTGTGACCTATAAGCTTGCGCGGTGCTCTTTTGAGACAGGAGTTCTCAGAATGTTCCAGTTATTGAACGGGCTCGAAGCAATATATTAAGATTAAGATTCAAATTTAAATTTTTTTTAACTTTAAATGGTTCGTAATTTTGGTTCTTGGCGCAGAAACCAGTACATTACTTGATGTTGTATTCTTTGAATTTAAAATCGAGTGGTATCATGATCTTTTCTACAACCACAGTGGGCAGAAGAGCAGCTCTTCAGGACCGCTAACAGCATCTGCACTGGTTGAGATCATTGTTTGTCATTTGTTTATTCTTAAAGTGCCTTTCTCGAACTGAGCTGACAGCAAACTGTCAGACTGAAACCTCAGTGACGAAATGCAGAAAGGTTTCTGGTCTTGGAGTACCCATTGTTGAAAATTGGCTCCTCAGTAGATACAGAGGCTTCCCCTACAACCTTCAAAAATGCGGCCCTCTTGGCTGGTTTTCCTAGTTATCTGACTTTACCCTTCCATAATTTGTACTTTGCCAATATGTGCAAGGTGCCACATGTATTTCTAACAGTGCAAGTAGCCTAAAAGGGTGATTTTTCAACAAATTCTGATAAAACAAATTTTGCTGGCTTGGTGCATTTCCTTGTGGGTACACATGTTTGATCAGTGACAGCTGTCATCATCATAGTCATTATCATCATACTTTATTTGATACAGTAGGTTAAATTAAAGGCAGCCAGAGGCTGATGTGGACCTACTGTCTACGGAATTTGGCTAAAGCTATCTCGGTATACTATTTTCAAATTGGATCGAAATAACAATACTAAAAATATTTAAAATCTTGTTTCCTAAATTAAAGGCAGCTAGAGGCTGATGTGGACCTGTTGTCTACGAAATTCGGCTAAAGCTCTCCAGTTATACTACTATCAAATTGGATCGAAATTAAAGAACCCACTTCACGAGATTACTGTGAGGTGGTCTGGCCTGTTTATTAGGAATTGGGAGGAGGGGGCATCTGTAAAATTTCTTCTTTATTAATTGTAAACTGCCGCTGGCAGTCTGGAAAAAATCCCCCGCACAGTGTTGTAAAGTGCATTAGAACATTGCATGGAAATGCGCTATAGAAATTGATATTATTATTGTTATTATTATTAAAATTACAATACTTAAAATATTTAAAATCTTGATTCTTATGGGAGACCATACATGCTTCTTTCAGAAAGCTAAGATTATTAACAAAGTTCTTATGACGACGTTGTTTTAGAAGGTTCTTAAAGTTCTTGAGGGAGTGGGACTGTTTGAGAGAAGTAGGGTTTAGTTCCCAAGCTAGTGGGCCTCTGCATCTTAAGGAATTTCTGCCAATGTCCAAGTTGTATTTGGGTAGAACGAAGTGATTACTATTTCTGAGGTTATAGTGTGGATTGGCAATACCAAAGAGGTTTGGTATTTTATCTGGGGTAATGTTACTTATATTTACTCTATACATTAGGTAAGAAGTTTCTTTTTATATTGGTTTGATAATGGCTCCCATCCAGTACTTTCCAGGGGTTCCTTGATCTGATATGTCCCGTGGCAGTCTAGATGGGTTTAGCTACTCTTGCATGAATATGTTCAAGCTCGTGAACGAAATGTTTATTTTTGTAGGGATGATGATGATGGTGATGACGGTGGTGTGCATCACAGCTTTGATGATATCAGTGATGATAATGACATTCAGGAGGAAAGTGGAAGCGATCTCGAGGATTTGTTGAACATTTTGGGTCCTCCCCCAATGTTAACTAACGTGGTAAGATAACAGTAATCAACTAGCTTGCGAAAAAGTGTCATGTGTTCATCGCATTGATAATTAATGGTTGACTAACTTTTATCCCTTTACCTTACATGTGATGAGATGTAAGGTGGTTTTTTTAATTTTATTTCAGTAACAAATAGCAAGTAGAGTAGGGAATATTACATTAGGGTAAAGAGGAAAGGATTACTCGTTACATTTGAAGTACTCGCATTTTCGCATGGGACCTGTCTTATGACTGTCTTCACTCATTCTGTAACTCAGCTCTTGTTTTCAATAAAAAGTTTGCTTTAGTGTTTCCTGTAATTTGTCTTAGTACATACCTAGTATAAACAAAAGATTATACACTGTTCATAATCTCTTGGTAATTAACAAATGGTAAACACCACAGCGTACACTATTGAGTTATGGATGCACGCGGGAGGTTGCTAAGCTCGAAAGAAGCGTAACAGTCGCCCGAGGCGATAGCCGAGAGCGACTTTAGCTTCTTGAGTGCTTTGCAAACCTCCCAAGTGCATCCATAACTCAATAGTGTACGCTGTGGTGTTTACCATTTGTTTTATAACATAACATTGATACATTGTAGCTAAAGAGTTTCCTTTTATTTAACAAATCTTACGCGACCAGAAAAAACAAGCGCGTGCGGAAAAATGGTCTTTGGATTTGCTCACGTCAGCAGCGTACACCCATGGGCAAATGGGGGACGCTAAATTGACCAATCAGAGTGCGCGCTGTTAGGGGCTGTCTCTCTTATACCCCTGAAAAAGAAGAAGGAGGAGGAGGAGGAGGAATGACACCAGTGTATTACTGACCCTCATTTCTTGTTTGTTTGTTTGTTTGTTTGTAGGTCACTCCTGCCCGTCTACTGCTGAGTGTTCTCTTCGAGGTAATGAATTGAATAAAATGTGTAGGTCCACATAAAACGTGTAATGATTTTGCTATCTGAGCAAACCTGTGTAAAAGTTAAGACTCTATACTGAATTAGTAATATCAAACTGGGTTAAGCTGGGTGAAGTAAGTGTTTGGGCAAAATCAATTAGAGATCTTCCGTGTTTTCCATTGCAAGGTAGCTGTTGATGGAACAGGTCTATGTTTGCATAAATCTGCAGTAATCTTAAAAGTGTTATGATATCCACCTCAAACGGAGGATTACCCACAGTTTATTTCGTTTATAGTTTTTCAGGGCGCATCCAGAGATGAGGAATGAGGGTTCTCCACCGGCATTGCCAGTAGTGATCGAGTCACTTCCCAAAGTAAAAGTTACTAAAGATCAAGTTGGTAAAGTGAAATATTTCTGTCTATTATGTAAAAAAATAAATAAATACGTTAATTGAAGTTCCCCCATGGGGGCTTTTCAGCCACAATTGTAGACTAACTATGAGTTTAAAAATCTCCACTGGCAGGAGGCAGATCAGTGGGCTATTGAACGAGGGAGTTGAACTAGGGGCAACCGAGAACAAATCGAGTGAGTGGCAGGGTGGAGGACTTGAACGCGGGACACCGGATAACAAGTCCAGCATCCACGGCCACGCCACTTCCTCCTCCCATCCTCCCTGCATCACTACTTGGCTTTTCCCTTCGTTTGTCGTCAGTTTTTTCTGAACCCGACAGTAGCGCTCAAATTTGGACAAAATTAATATTTCCTTGAACAAATGATTAAGTCCGAAATTAGACGGAAGACTGCATAAGGTTGTAGCGCTCATTTGAGCCGACCTGAGACCCTCGTTTCCCTTCCCGATTTGTTATGGCGGATTTGTAACTGGACCCTTTTCGTTGATTAATTATCATCGATATCGACGATTTTCATCGCCAATGTTTTTTTTTCTTGGAGAACTTATTATACATTTCGGTTAAATACGTTGTTTGGTTTGCATTTGACTGACAGTTTATTCGTATCGTAAGAGGTATCTGATTGAGATTTGAGCCGACCGACATTTCTGAAGTTCCTACTAACAGTATTATCCGGTTGCATTTGCTCTAGCCGTGAAGTTATCCTGTACCATTTGTCGGTCTGATTATGAAGAAGACGACTCAGTTCTGGAGTTACCATGTTCTCATTTATTCCATCCTCCCTGCATCACTACGTGGCTAAAATTGGTAAAATCTCTGTCCACATTGATAGTTACTACCGATTTCTTATTACACGACTCGGGCAGTCAGAGGGCCAATAACTAAAATCAACCAATCAAAATGCTCTATTGCCGGTCAATATTCTCTCAGTATTGGACCGGGCACTGTCCCGAATGGTCCCTAATCATGCTACCGTGTCCCTTTGAACTTCAGTCGTATAATAAATCTCTTATTAACCAAGCTTACTCGGAACCGTACTGGAAGAATATCGGCCCTCGGTCTTTTTAGTACGGACCTCGCTGCGCTCGGTCCGTACTGTCAAGACCTCGGGCTGATATTCTCCCAGTACGGCCCTCGCGCTTGGTTAATAAGATATATTTACTTTATTTGCCAGATAATTATCGCAAAAATTAACCGCCTTTCTACATAAAGGACTGATTACATACGCGCGCGCACACACACACACACAGGCACGCACGCACGCACGCACACACACACACACACATACATACATACACACACACATACATTCTCCCAAACTCCCATAGTGAAGCATGTTACACTGAGGAATACTGCGTTTTTTCTCCCTGGAAATTAAACAGCTTCAACCCCTGTTACAATAATAGAAAAAACAACAAAAATGAATAAATTATTGATAAAAAATTATACAACTAGAAGAATGTCAAAATGTGAAAATTTGTCAATTAGTCGATACGTTAGACCTCTTAAGACAACAGTAAGACAAATCACTTAAGACAAATTTTCTTTTTGATTTGTTTGTTTTCTGTAGCACGCCACTTGTCCCACGTGCCGCGATGTTCTACCTCACTAAAAAACGGAGGAACGAGCTAGTGTTTCAACGGATTTGCGGAACACGACGACAGAAAGCAGCCGCTTTATCTTAAACTGTACAATGTCCAACTTGGAATCAGGCTGTCTGGTGTTGCCAGTGGAAGAAGTCTACTGACCAAAGACCCGCGCTCGAATCATCGGTTGCATATGATCACTGACTCCTTAATAACTGATAAATTGTTGGGATTGTTAAAAGTTTAGAAATGCTAATCAATCGCAGTACTTTGCATGAAACAAAGCCATGGTCATGGTCGTTGGTCATCTGTCTATGATTCAATTGAGGCAATTTTTTGGCATACTAAGCTTTGATTGAAAGTTAGAGTTGAAGTCAGGTTAATCAACCAGTTTTGTTTTAAAGAACTAAATACGAAGATATATTACTTTAAATAAGTTCCGTTTGCCAATCGTTCTGGCTTCGTTACCTTATCTACACTGGATAAGCGAAGGGGTTCGAACAAAACGTTCGTCGTAGCGCGTTACAGATTAAACTGCTTTTCTTTGTCGGTAATTAGTGAACACGACAAAGGAACTCGCTATCTCTTGTTTTTTCCTTTTTTTTTCCAATCGTTTCTTTCTTTTCTCTTCTTTTTTCTTTTTCAAAACACACACTGAATACTCTGGCTCCCTTACAAGGAATCCTATCTCTCACCAAAAAAGTTTTCTCCAAGTTCATTACTGAAATTTAAAAGGGAGGCTGACGCTGTTTAGAACGAAATTGCTTCGCCCAATACACGACAGATTTGTCAACTTACGATACGATTGGGACGTAAAAGGACGCTACCGGAAATAATTCCTAAGATATGCCCTCCCGTAAGAAGGAAAATATTTGGAACCTCTGAAGTAATCCTTTTGAATCTCATTTCAGGTTTTTCCATCATTTTAATGGGTTCCTTTTGCCTGATAGTGTTTACTTAATCTAAACTCTGCTACACTCGTAGCTATTTTTTCAACAACAAGGAGGGAAACGCGCTCGTAAGGAGACATTTTCAAGCTCATTTTGAATTAGAAGCTTTATTTCGTTTACTTCAGTCTCAGTGAACAATGCCTTGGTAATTGAACTCAGTCACTTGAAGAATGCAGCTACCTCAGTTACCCACTCCTTTAGAGTAGTAGGTTCTTCGCCTGTGATCTTGGTGAAGTGTGTCATGTCAGGATCATCGATCAAAGGATTTTCTTCATCCGTCATCCGGTAAATTTCTAAGATTCCATCGGCGTCCTCTTCACCAAAACCAGCCACGTTGATGAGACGCTTTCTGCAATCCTCATAAGAAATTCGATCATATCTGATTTTCCTACCGAAGACTTCGCTGTAAGTGCTAGCCAGCTCTCCAAGAGTATGGCGATTGCTTATCAACTTGTAAGTCTTGCCATAGTGCTTCTTTGGTTCGGCCATGATTGCTGCCGCAGCCTTCCCAGCATCTGCTACCACAACAGCTGAAAAAGGTTTAGTTGGGTCTCCTGGGGTGCTGAATGATGACTTCTCTTGAATAGGCTGTTTGTGAGCCCAATAGTTATCAACGAACGGAGGAAGGCGAATGAGGGTATAGGGTATATCTAGATCCTTCACGCTTAATTCCAGCTCGCCAAACTGTTTGCCGTAGATAGAATCGGTCATCTCGACGGTAAGGACACTAACAGCAAGGATATGTTTAACTCCAGATGACTTGGCCACCCGTGCTGCTCCAATCGCAAGTTTCCAGCCATTGGTTGGGGTCACAATAAACAAAGATGTCACGCCACATAATAGCTCACGCAATCCCTCTTCGTCATTCATGTCAGCTCGAAGAACAGTCACTCCTGGTAGGGTTTTCAACACGGCTGCCTTCTCTGATGTTGGGTCTCTGGTTCCAGCCAGAATTTTAACTTTGTCTGGGTACTTTTCAGACAAAGCTCTCACCGTGGCAGACCCCACAGATCCACTGCAACCAAGGACGAACACTGTGAGCTTCGGCATGGCTGGAGAAGACAACGAAAAAAAAGTCATAACTTTGAGGCGACAAGCAGATTCTGATGATAACCTTCGTGCAGATAATCGCACATCGAGGACATTAATGGACCGTTGAGAGAGCAAGTGATTTAAAGTATGGTCACACAGATGAACAAGATCACAAAATTGTATTGTTTTTTTGGGGTCGTAAAGTAGTTTTTATTTTTAAAATGATAACTTGACAAAGAGACAGTGTAATGAAATAGAGGTAAAGAAAGTAAAACGCGAGCTTGGATGCTGAATTAATCTGGAGGTTGCTTGTTAATGGAAGAGCCAATGCAAAGTCAGTCATCTGCAAAATTCAGATTTCAGCGATTGCAATCTCTGAAGTAGAGTTGGTTCTTTCGATCATTGTCCAGAGATCTTAGGAAAAAAATCAGAGAAGATGTAAATGAAACTAAAAAAAATAAAGAAACAAAGCTAAATAGAAGCCAAATTATTTTGGTACAAAAATGTTTAGGATTCCGTGGGGAACACACCCCAGGTTAACATGGACGACCCACCGAATCACAAGACCGTGAAGCGAACGATACGTTTGTATTTGTGGGACTAGGGATACACCACTCCATTCCCCGTTACGGACTAGTCACAGATTGTATCGACCGTAACTTATTGGACATTTTTTCCAACTCAAGCCCTCCCTTCAGTGATGGAGAGGAATTCCAGTTTTAGTGGCCCTCTCCGCCTGGCGCGTGTGAGTTGAGGTATCGCGTTACAAAAACGACGATGCAAATTCCTATATAGACCTCGCCCCCCATGTTGTTCCCTTTTAAATCTAACGCATTTCATACTTAAGAGAGAAAATGTAGCTTATTTGCATTGTAACTTACTCACAAGTCCTTCAGAAAGATTTCTGACCTTCTTTGAGAATCACTATACACACCAAGCCGGTTGGTCCTTTGTCATGTATGTTCACTAGAATGTCCTGGGATCCAGCTTTCACTCGTCATATATTTTGCCGCCTGGCATTTATCTGCTATGATGGCCGTCGTAGGTAAAAAAAGTTCTTGTCCCGTTTTTCTGACCTAAAACCTTCATCGAATCTCATGGCATCTTTAGATAAATTGCAGAATGAAATTCTTCTGAAAGAAGAGGCGTTTTTGAAAGAAGAAAGGGCTAAGCTAACGGATCAGCTGAATAAGCTGAAGGTGGTCGAAGCCTCTACTGTAATTTCAGATAATTTTCAAGGTTATCTTCGTTTTTTATCGAAGCTTTTCTGTTACTTACTTACTAAAATATTTCAGGTGGAAGAAATGGCACTTATGAAATTATTAAAACAAGATGGCGCGAATTCCCAACAGACAACCATAGAGCTGTTTTGCAAGACTTCTCAAGCGGTGGGTGAACGTTAAGTTGGATCAAACTTCATTCGTTTTTACGAAAAAGCAACAAAATTATAGAAGCCGACGCTGCTTTTTTTTTATTGCAAAGCAGAAATGTTAAGGGGAAGTGCCATTCCTAAAATCTTTTTCTTAGGATTAAATCTTTAATTTGCGCAATTTTTCGTTTCAGCCTTTATCATCCAGCCTTAAGATTGATAAAGTCAATCATATCCCATTACAAGGACTAAATGCCACTGAGATGTAAGAGTTTTTTATTTTATATGATATATAAAATAATTTTTTTACAACTGTTTTAAATGTTTTTTTCGGTTTCTTATTGCAAAAGTATTCCAATTAATTTAATACCAAAACTTAACACCAAAAGCCTCTTTGAACAGTGAATATATACCACAGTATGCTAAAATAATTATTGACCAATGATATATATTTTTTAATGGATTATGTATGAAAACAAGGTCGCACCTCGAAAATTACAATTTTGCTACAAATGAATGAGTACTTAGTCAACTTTGGTGTTCAAACATGTGATGTCATAGGAACCATGACAGTTATCAAGGGGAAGAAGAAGAAGAAGAAGAAGATGAAGACGAAGATGATATGGATGATGATGAACCAGCTTACAGTGAGTAAAATCAATTCTACTCATATTTATTACTGTTACAGTATTTATCTGTTTGACGTTGAAAAACTTTGCTCTTCAATGACATATGAACATTGGTGTTCAGGATAATTTTTGCAAAGTACATGTCACAATGCATTTGATTATGTTATGGATCTACACGAAACTGTAGCAATAGTTAAGTGGGTTCATTTGTTGCATTGTTGGTGGAACTGGTCCTTTTTTCTTTGTTTGAAGGTGTCTGTTATGATTATAGTAGATGGCATTATAACTTGTAATACTTCAGTGTTAAATTTCAATTGATCAGAATAAACCTGAGGGCTCGACACTAACTTTTTAACTTACTAGCCAAGTGGCTAGTGACAACTTAGATGTTATGACAAATTCAGCTTGTTTACTAGCCAAACTGGCTGGTGGAGATTGAAAACCACTAGCCAAAACTGAATTTCTACCAGTCTGTGGTTAGTTGGCTGCCGTTAGTGTCAAACCCTGAACCTGAGGCACAAAATTCTTGTTGCTAATTGTTCAGCATCATTAATACAATTTGCCAGGACAGATTTTTTTATATAATGGTTTGTCCAGAAGCAATGTTGACTATTTATTCTCACTCTTCCGTAACCCTTTCACCCTTGCATGTGACCAATAAGTAAATATCAGTACAATGCCAAGGAGAAAAGTAATGAGAGTAAAGAAAAATATCAACAAGAAGATTATTACTTGATCTAACTCTGAATTCTCAGAACAACATCGATAAGAAATGTATAGCAGATAGTTAGGAGAATTGCTATTGAGACAGTGACAGTGATAGTGACAGAGATAGTGACAGTGATAGTAGGGTTAGAGAGTAAAGAGGAGCAAAACCAGATTTGCTGCTAGGTTCCAGGTTTTCTCTCTTGATGACACTGACAATATATTCAATATTTATTTAATGGTAAAGTAATGCAAAAACCCTTTTGGAATTCATTGTTTATTTTTATATTTTAAAGGTCAGCAGTTAATGAATGCTATGTCAAATATGCATCAACAAAGCACTAATGTTGATCTGAACATTTCCAGGTAAGATCAGGTGCTCAAATGTTTAGTTCGAAATTATCCTTGGAATAAAGAATTCTAGGTTTAACCTGTTTCATTTGAGTTTTATTTGTATGGTTAGAAGTATAATTTTTTTAATTGTAATCTTTTATTGTTGGGAAAACAGCACAGCTACTTGGTCTTCAGTATTTTTTTGTCAGTCATTCTAAAGGATTGGGTCAGGTCTTATGAGTTTGTAGTGGTCCCATCAAGGCTGAAGTGTTTTTGTAGCTTGAAATGATCAGGACAGTTGTAAATCCACATGCATGGAATTTTTTCAGCCTGCAGTCCATCCTAGGTTGAGATAACCTGCTGGCAGAAGTTTATAAAGTTTTCATGACCATTTTCCTGGTATTTATTTGTTGTCCTTGGCAAAGAGGGGGCATTAATAGAATAAACTTTTGCCAAATCTCAATAGAGATGGCTAGATGACCCTCATCCATGCACAAACTAAGACATTTCCATTCCCGATCCATCAATTGCTAACAATTCCCTCACTGTGTCCCTCGCCACAAAGTTCATTTTTCTATGTTTTCAAAGTGACATATTTCTGAAATTCCAATTCAATCTGGAGTTGAGTGTTTTTAACATGAGCCACTGGCTTGGAAGATTGGGAAACCACTTCCTACATTATTGACTTTAAATAAATTATCTATTTTATTTTATTTATTATATGGTTTTCCTTTTGTCTCAATTTAATGTAGATCTGTGTTACAGAATGTACTGCAACAAGAGATTGAAGGTTTTGATGATGAAGAAGAGGAGGGAAATTTTTATTGATGGTTCCTGGGAATATATTTTTCTTGTACTTTAACCCTGGTGAAGCCTTGCTACATTGAACAAAATATTCACTCAACACAATAATGACTAGAAACTGTACCTCCATGTATTGTCTTGCATGGTGAAGTAATAGTTGGCAGAAATGATCCAAGCCAAGACAAAACCAAAAAAAAAAAAAAAATTACTGTACATACCTGATATAAACAGAAGTTTGAAAATTGTAAATTGCAGGATGTTCAAATTAAACTTTTAAATTAATACTTTTATCTATATTGTGGATTTACTTCTTAGGTAGTAGTAGTACGAGTGATGTTTGTCCTTCAAATTGCTTTACTAGCATCCTGCACATCAGTGTAGCAGTCAAGTCTCATTATTAACTGTCTCATTCCTAAGATCTCATAATTTAGTAATTCTCCTAACTGTCTGCCAGATGATTCTTACTATGTTAGTTTGGAGAATTTGGTATTAGATCAATTGGTAATCCCATAATTGATGTTCTCATCACTTATCTGTATGATATTGTATAGATATAGTAAAGAGAAATTTTTTCTTGGACACCCCCAGAAGTTAAATGGTTAACTGTTAACACCCTAACAGCAGTGTGCACATTCTCCATGTATTTCCTAAGGTGTTGACAGGGAGAATTGTTGATCATTTCCTTTACTCTCATTACCTTAATGTGTGTGATTGGGAGTGATATTGTAAGGAGAAGTTAGATGCTTGTCACTCTTAGGATTCATAGGGTTATACTAATTTCATTATTCCCAGTGGTTCATCAACATTGAGTGTTGGTACTTTTAAAAGGTACACATATATTTTAAAGAGTCTGGACCATCCAAAATATCACAACCCACATGGAATAATAAAACAAACATTCAATTCAGTGTAAGTTTCCCCTGCAATTATGGTATATTGGCTTATAAATGTCATTCTTAATGTATGCTTTTTCAATGCTTTATGTGGTCATTATTGATCTGGTTAAGTTTTCCCCAAACTATGGCATTCTCTGTGACTGGACCCTAGTAAAACATAGGCATGCTATGCACACAACAGTTAATTTTTGGGATGGTTGGGATGAGATGGGGCACTGAGTAACTGATGCTTTTAATTTTTCAAAAAAAAAAAAAAAAAAAGAGCAGAACAGATGAAAGCATGAGGCTATAGGGCAAATTCTACTCTTGTTTTTGAGTACTTGAAAACCCTGGTGAAACATGATGCACTTGTTTTTTAAATCTTGCCACAAGAATGCAACAACTTAGGCATTCTACAAGAGTTGTTGTGGCTACTGCAAGCAGCTTCAGCAGTCAATCTTAAAAGGTTACATAACTTAGCTTAGATATAAATAAAAACTTAGATTAGAACAGAAAATCACCTCTTTCCTTGCCTTTTCTTCTTTTCTCTTTGTTTCCCTGGCTGTTTAAACTAGTCTTCGGTCACCCCAAATCAGAACATTTCAATCGAGCGTTGAAAATATTTCAGGATTACACAGTGTTCTGAGACTGGTCCACAGAATAATATTTATTTTAGTCTTTGATTGGTTCCTTAAGAAATTGCGTTTCTTTACTCCGATAAGCAGTTATGATATCCTTGGTAAACTGTTAAGTGTGAAAATTTGTGAGATTGAAATCTTTCTTGAACTGCTGACATCTTTGCTGGAAGTTGATGCCAAAGATGCAGTCATTTCCAGGCTCTCACTATTAGTGAGATTAGTGAGAATGAATTGGAATCTAGTAGAAAAATGATCAAGGGTATAGCTTCTAGCCTCCCGGTTAGAACCGCCTCCCGGTTAGCTCAATAGATAGAGCGCTGGACTGTTGTGCAGGAGGTCGAGGGTTCGAGCCCCGGCCGGACCAATACTCAAGGTCTTAAAACAATTGAGAAGAATATGCCACCTTTCTATAACATCAAAGAAATGGTTCGATATTCTAGTCTTCTCGGATAGTGACGAATAAATGGAAGTCCCGTCTCCTGCAGGGTTAGGGGTAGGAGACGTTAATTTCCCACGCACGAGATTACTGTGTGGTGGATGTCCTCCCCTGGGGTAGGATGGGTGGGTTTACTGGGCCGGCGGTAATTGGCGCAAGCTGTCGCGGTGTCCCTGCATGTCGGCTAAGTTAAATAAATAAAATAAATAAATAGCTAGGGGAAAGGGGGTCCTGAGGTGCACAGGACATCTCCCCCCATCCTTTGTAAGCCTATTTTGTTACATTAGGNGACTCGACAGACAGCTTATCCGACGAGAACAAATACCTTCACCGTGTTTTTACGAAGAACAACTACAACAACGACTTCATCCGACGAAACACTCACCGACCCACTACCACTACCGAAACAAACGACACCGCAACCCCTACGACTACAGCAACCATACCGTACATAAAAGGCATGTCTGAAAACATCTCGCGCATCTTACTACCCTTCAATATCCGCGTCGCCCACAAACCCATCACCACACTACGTCAGTTACTAACCAACGTTAAAGACAAAGACGAACCGAGGAACAGACAGGGAACGATTTATAAGATCAATTGTTCCGACTGCCAAGCCTCCTACATCGGTGAGACTGGCAGAAACCTCACAACAAGACTGACTGAACACAGACGGGCGACGAGGAAAGGTGATGTCAGCAATCACATTGCTGAACACCATCGACTTACCAACCACAACATTGACTGGGACTCTGCGCAATGCCTAACCTACAGCACTGACTATTTTCAACGACTGACTCTGGAAAGCTGGTTTACTAACTTAGAACAGACTCCCCTAAACAGATGTCAACAACTACCCGCTCCATACAAACGACTCATTCACGACATAAACATCACAAACGACCGAAAAAGAACGACCTAACTTTACCGACAGATCGAAACAGACCAATCACGACCGACTTACGTCACTTGAGTCTTACAGCCAATAACATCACGGCAAAACCAACCGATCATTTCACACGAACTGGAATAAGAACATTCTACTGACAACAATCATTCACTTGACTCTGATGATGACTTCCGCACAGGTTGTCGAAACGTCAGTCACTACCATCGACAACAGTCCTTCTCAGGACTACACTCACCCGGACGATCAGACTACACCTTCACATGTTACTCCCGGGTTCAAGCCATTTACTGCAATGAAAACTTAATATCATATGAAAGGATGAGCATCAGGACTGGTTTTGAAAATGAGGCCAAGGGTAATTCGGAAATGGGCTATCTGGTGAGTACCCTCTGTTTCATGTAATGTGACTCCCCCCTCCCCCCCCTTTGAAAAAACCTGGCTACGTCCCTTGTGGACAAAGATTACCGGTAATCTTTGTACACAAAGGTAATACCAATCTCTTGAATTTGTTTTAGTAATGGGTCTTCGTTTTCATAGGGGGTATTCGTTTTTGTAATGGGTCTTCGTTTTCGTAGGGGGTCTTCGTTTTCGTAATGGGTCTTCGTTTTCGTAGGGGGTCTTCGTTTTCATAATGGGTCTTCGTTTTGGTAGGGGGTCTTCGTTTTCGTAAGGGGTCTTCGTTTTCGTAGGGAAAAAGATCAGGGCTCTCTTATTTACCGTAATTTCCGGCCGTTTGCCCGCGGGTAATATGGAAGTGCGGGTTATGTGACAATTTTGAAATCTACTGGCAGTTGAATTGAAGAAAATTCTCACCTATTTGCGTTCCCACCTCTCAGATGAATTTTATAGTATTAAGAGTGCCACAAAGTGACAAGAAAACATGATACCGACTCGATTTTATTTCACGCACAATTAATTGTGCGACGAACAAATTACTATCGGCACGCGTGTAAACAAAACCTTGATGGTGACGAAAATAAACCGAGGATAACCGGCGCATCTGTAAAAAAATTCCAGTTAACATTAGCTTCAGCTGAAGAGAATTGTCCCGATTTAAGGGACTTGTTAGGCCCAGTAGAACCGGAGATATCAATTTTTTTTGAGAAATCAACAAATCAACGTAGCGCGGAACGATCGTTCGTGTGGCCACAAATTCGCATTCTGGCAATTATGCAAAGGTTGTGAGTTCTAGGGCATAGTTGTACAAATTTCCTTTTAAGGTGCGGGTTATCCACCAGAGCAGGTAATCTGTTGACTTTTTTTTTTTCGCTGCATGCAATAATCGGCTGGTGCGGGTAATCGGCCGTGCGGGTAAACGGCCGGAAATTACGGTATTATGAACAGATCTTCCATTTCACTGGAGGGATATCATGAACTCACCCAAGTTGGAAAGAGTCTCCCCAGGACATATCTAATTGAAAGCTGCACCAAGGTTTTGGAGAGTAAGTGGGAAGTTACACGGACACCAGGAGATGCTCCAGGCGCAGAGCTGCCATTCAAACTTCTACTGGAGCATGAAGTGCGACAGCACGTAAGTTGTACGATAATCTGTTTTGAATAATGTATTAGATGCCCAGTGTAAAAGTCTTCAGATACAAAAAATCCTTTTCAATATCAGCCCAAAAAATGTTTGAGCATGTTTAACATGTTTAATATTAAAGTCAGAGATATTGCCAACTACGTATACAACTTGGAGTTAAGCCAAAAAAGAGAGTGTTAAGGATTTCACTCACACTGTGTTGCACTTTTAGGGATATCTTCACTAAGAAAAAGACAACAACTGCAAGGTGTGTTCTCTCACGTTTATTTTCAAATGCATCATGGGTATGATGACGTGTGAATATATTACACACAGTGCCTCTGCTGGGTACAAATCAAATTGTTTCTTTCCCTGGCCAATCAAAATCCCAAGATAGGAATAAATTTTCAATCTGTAATTTAGGATTCAAGAATGCTAAGGTATTGCTGTCATTAAAAGACGACCCACTGACTGAGCCAAGAGACGTCATTATCTTACGCCAAATGGTCAGACTATGTCGCGTGTTGAAAAGAAAATGACAAATTTGGAATTTTTGTATACACTGTTTTAAAAAACCAAGCTTCAGATAGCTGATCGTTACTCAAATTCATTAAGATTTTTCATGGGAAAATATATAGTACTGTGAAACATGCAATTGTTTCCTTATGTGTGTCTCAGTCTTGTAGAAAGAAAATTAACTGAGCTGCTAAGAGATGATGGAAACTTTGGAATACTAAAGATACCCAGCTTTATTCTCTCCATTTTTTAGCCATCCTTGTTTGGGCTTAGTGTTTCATTCCTCTTTTTTCTTTTTTCGTACCAAATGATAATTTGTGTTTACCTCTAAGTTTGCAAAAAATGTCCAGATATCATCAACCAAATACGGTCAAAGCTTGAAGTTTGATTTGCAATGCAAATTTTTTTTGACGCCCTAATTTTGTATTCACCGTCTTTCATCGCTTTACGCGAGGAGTTGAAAGTTCAGCTTCTCTTGGTGAAAAATTCGCTTAATTTCGGTTTAAACCGAGAAAAATTGGTGCCACAAGAGTAGTAGACATTGATGACTGTCACTGGAACTACGACATCTGCTCCATGATTAAAAATGTTTGGTTTCTGTATGGGTTTGGAGGAAGTAATGGCGAGGTCTGTTGAAGCGTACAAGGACAACTACTATGGTATGTATCGATTTAACCGTTTTACTGAGTATTTTGAAACGAATATCACTGTCAGTGGTAGATAGTACAGAAAACAGCAAGCAATTAAATTTAATTTGGACGCAATTCTGCGCTGGGTACATTGGCTTTGAAGTGTTACTCACTTGAGGGTCATTTTAAACTTGCATAATAATTGTCATTTTACGGGAGAGTTTTTCCAGCGATTTTAGTTGAGTTGTTAATGTAGAAGCTCTAGCTTAGAGGTAAATTAAGAAGTAAAATTCAGATTACTCGCGCCGAGCCCTTGGAAACATAGAATACATGTCGTCATGCACTGAAAAATGACATATTTAAAATGCTAAATGAATTTAGATTTTGTGAAATCTCAGTACGTGATGTTCATCGATTGTACACCTACTTGAGAATTTTTAATTAACTGCCGAAACTTAACCGGAACGTGAAGAGGACAATTTTAAATGGCTGGATTGACTAATTTCTTTTTCATGACTCTTACTTTCCGTTGTTTAATCTGTAAATTCTTCCATTCGAAGCAATTCGTGAATTTAACGAAAAAAAATACACAGCTTAAAATGTAATTAAAACGAGGAAAAATTTGAATTTTGAAGCAAGTTGGAGAAAGAGTGACATAAAAAAAAAAGCGCGTCGGGATCGCAATAGCATTTTACCTGTTATCTTCCACTCAGCAGCCGATGATAATAGATCATATCCTTTCAAGGCTGTAGCTATTATGTCATCAATCAGATAATGAAGATCGGTGTTTTTAATCCACTGGGTGTCATATCTATTTGTGAAAAGCCAAGGGCTTCACTAAGCTATTTTATAAAGAGAGATAGCCATTCCAGAATGATCTGTGACATCTCATCGGCAGTATTTAGTGAAAAAAAAAAAAAAAACGAGAAATTTGGACTATCAATCTGTTCAGTTGATATTTCGTTGTAGAAACTGAGAAAAAAGGCCGGAAAACTTATACAACTTCCTTTTCTGTGAACACTCAGCTCCTTTTGGCCAGATACTTCGCCCAAACAAAGTCTCCAGTTTAAGAGTTATGTTTCCTTCAACGAAATTAAAATTACACACCTGCTATGCATTGAATTGTTGGCAATTTTCTCAAAAGATTGTTGATATAGTTAACAATTATTCCACTCGCGCTTGTTGGATATGAGATGATAGATAGCCAACACGGCGCTACGCGCCATGTTGGGTATAATCATCTCATATGATCCAACAAGCGCGAGTGGAATAATTGTTTTATTAAAAACGCCCCCATTCAGTCAAAGATTGGAAGCGAACGACTGTGAAAATTCATCGTTCGTCCAATCAGAGATACGAACGATAGCGCTTCACTTTGTAAATATCAGTGTGTTTGAAATAATATATTATATGTAGTAAAGTTAGTAATAAAAAAAGTTAAGAATTAATCCCGAATAAATCGTTTGACCGTCAGCGAGAAGATTCCCATTACTTCTGGATTTGTTTTTACTTATTTCCTATACAAGATAACTGTTGAACATAATGTTCTCTGTCAATTTCAAGATTGAAGGAGCTACAGATCAGAATGATGCAAGAAACGAATTAGCTTTGACCGTCGACTTTTTTTTTTTTTTTTTTTTTAGTGTAAGCTTTGTCTTAACTTGACTAACTTGTTTTATCAAAACTACTTTTAAGTCTTAAAATGTAAATTATGTTGATGGTGAGTGTGTGTGAGTTGTGTCATGTACATATGCAGATGTCTTCATCTTAAACTTTAGTTGAGAAGACCACTGTTTAAATAGAAAACTGTGCGGTTTACTTAGCAGTTCCATCGTAGATGTCTACATTTAGTTTCATTTCCTTAAATGTCTATAGGAGTTCAATTTAACTAAATAAGATTATATATTTAATGTTACAGGGTAGGAAAATATATAATGAACTTTTGTTGTTGGTCGAAATTTATCTGTGACAAATGGAGACAGTGAAACTTGCAAGTTACATGACGCAAAAGTAATCAATATAGGTGTCTCTTTTTAAAGAGGTTTTAGACATCGCGAAAAAGAAAACGAGGAATATTTGGATCAAGAAGTATCGAAATCTGACAATGTGGACAGAACAAGACGTTGCGATAGACAAAGAACTCTGATGCCATCGGAATACAATCAACCAAGACCGTCTCTGACAAAAACACAGTAAGCTACCATTTTATGATATCTAAATGAAACAGAAATATTGCTTCTTGATTTTGTTTAAACCAAGAGAATATAAACTCTTTGTTCAAACCTAAACGTTTTAAGCCGAACATTTTCAGCGGAGACGAATTGTATCGGATCAAAACAACACTGTTTATTGCCGATAGGAGGACATTTGCAGAAACCCATGAAATACCATCATTCGGGCGTCATTTTTGTCACCTACAATTTTGAATCTCAAATTTGATGGAGAAATCAAATTGCAGTTGAAGACAAAAACAGAAGCAGGAGAGTAAGGTTACAGAACCTTCTTTACAAAGAATTGGAGATCGTTTTCGATGATCAAAGCTAAATCTTTCAAACTAAGCTATATTTTTCTGGTTTCCTAGAGACTAAGTAGAGGTTTCGTGTAACTCTCCAATTTGCAATTTTTGTTTGGTGAACAAACACTAAAAAAACATTAACATTAAAACAGATGCAAATGTTTGTCAATTCATGTCTCAGATTTATCATTTATGTTTCATTTAGTTTTCGTATAGTTGTTGAATTTTCAAGGGCAATGCTTAGAGTTGAAATTAATTTTCTTTCTATTGTTTTGTTACAGCTTGTAGGATGACCGTGATGTTTCAGTTCAAGACTTAATCAAGGAAAGACAACGATTCAAGCGAAAGACAAGTTTACAGTATAGGTAGAAAACAAAGTTATCTAGTCTCTCCTTAAGGCAAGCTTATTCGAAACGAATTGCAGCTAAGATTTTCTAAGTTACTTTTCCAAATTTACCCGCGAACGGTAACAATCTTGAAGAGAACTGAGCAATCAGAAACTTATTGACAAGATTTCATTTTGATAGTTTCAGCTGACGTGTATCCTTAGTAACCCCTGGTCAAAATCTATATAAAAACTTGGAAAAATACGGGTGCCTTGAATACGTATGCGGCATTTTTTTTTATCAACTCTGTAAGTATCATCCCTTCAAATAGTTTCAATTTTCCCGCCAAAAAACTTAAAAAAAAAAAAAAAACGGCGCATGCGTATTTTGGGCGCCCGTATTTTTCTAAGTAATTTGTAATAAGTGGAGTTGTCTTTTATTTCATCTATATCTTGTTGTAAATAAAATTCATTAAACACAGCATTGTTGTCCACTTAATCATCTTTATTTCTAAATATTTCGTTCAATAATATCACAAGTATTCGTCTTCAATTAGTTAAGTGATTTTCCGTCTTCAATTAGTTAAGTGATTTTCCATTAAATGATCAAAAATGTGTCAAGAAAAATTCGCCCGAATATATACTAAGACTTTTGGCGGGAAATTTGGTAGAATTTGCACAGAGTTTCCCCTGATAACATTTCTGACAAGAAATTTAAAGTGGCTCCCCTCAAAATTTTGCGCCAAAAGATATGTGATAAGTACCTTGTACAAAAAATTTTTCCAGAACATGTTTTAAACGGCTGTCTGCTCTAGCTTCCGATAAAATTCGACGAAATTTGTTTCGCTACTTAAAATGAAGCTAAATTTTTAAACAATTCTAGTATCTGTTGAAATTGGATCTTTGGAAGTTTTTGCTCAAGGTACATACACACAACTTGAACAACATGCCAAGCGATATTTCTACACTAAGACTTAATTAAGATTACTCTAACTTTCCCATGTTGCATTTAAAAGACCTTTTCCAGCTTTCGATTTCTCTGTTTATATAATTTAATGCAAAACTCCTAATCTTTGTAATGAAATGAATGTTGTATTTTTCGGGCCAAATGGTCCAAGGTCTGGCCAAAAGTTATTTTTATCAGACAATCAGATAATTTCTTGGCCCAAGTATCTTGAAATGATTGCTTCAAGATTTCATTTGATTCGAGTTTTATTTTCCACAGATAAAATCCAGAATTAGAACTTCAAATGTCAAAATATTTGCCGTAATCGAAGGCTGAAAAAGGTCTATATATTTCAGATACTCTGCCGTCTTTGGCATCACCGTTTCCAATGCTATTAAGGACAAGTTGCGCGACAAACAACGAAGCAGAAGCAAAAATTTTGTGGATTCGATATTGTTTCGAGTGTTGCGGAAGTACTACGACTTTCTGAAAAATGTACATTAGAAAAAACACGATTTCATTCGTGTTTGACGTCTTGAAAAAGTTCCCGAGATAATAATTCAAAACAATTGAAATAACTTTCTTTATCCTCTGGTCACTTTTGTGTAAGTAATTTCATAAAAAGGTCGATGTTTTGACTTTTGAAGCAATCACGTCTTTATCTTCTGAAAGCTCTCTGAAACGATTTCAATGAATCTTTCTTTCCCGTAGAGTTTTGAAGGACGTATTATTTTGATCTTTTAACTTATTCTTTATCCACAGAAAACTTTTCATGACCAAATATGATCAAATCATCCGTGCTTGTTGTTTGGATAAAATTCTAGTACAACTTAAAGGCCTTCGTATTGTATTTTTCATAAATTTCATATTTGTGCGCTTTCTTTAAAATTTCTGCTTTTGTCCTTTATATCATTTGGAAACGGTTATGAGCATTTTCATGAGACGTCACAGCAGACATATCCAAGACAAAGAAATCGTTGCCATATTGGTGCCCCAAAACCAATCCTCTGGGAATTAAACTATTTTATGCTAACATCATCTTTTGTTTAGAAAACCAATATGGCTGCCGATCACGTGAGTAACAACGCTCTATATCAAATTAAGTGAGATTCTAAAACTCATGTCTGGTATTGTATTTCACGTTTTGCATGGCACGCTTAAAGAAGAAAGAGTTAATGACGTTGAATTAAGTACAATTTTGGCCATACGAAGACTCTGGTCAATCACCAAGGCAATTAGAGCGAAAAACAATTTGAATACGTCGACTGGAAATAAGTCTCTTTGGAATTGATAACAACTTTATGATTAAATTTTGCTAATGAAAAGAACTGTCAGATATAATTATACAGTCAAATGGAAGAAATAAATTTGAGAGGACTAAAAAAATATTGTTGTGACATTATGACAACGATGTCGAGTTTCTGTTCGATCGATGATTATTTTTTTCATGAAAAGTTTTGGAAAAATTTCCACAATACCCCAACATTAATGCTGCATTCATTTCAGAAAGACTAAATAGTTTATAGGTTTCTTTGCAACACTCTATATATAATGTACGGGGTTATATGGAAATCTTGCCAAAGTTTTTTAGTTTGCCAGACATGATTTCAGAGAACATCACTCTACGTGAAAAAGGTAGAAACTTCTGAGAGATTATTTTAAGTCGATTCAAAGTTCCCAGTGTACAAGGATAATACAAGGATAATTTCAGAAACCTTCAATCTCTCAAAATCTTCTAGCTTTAAAGTGGCTCTGCATGTCAATCGTTTAGCGTACTCGTTAACGCGCTCTAAGCTGAAGTTCTTCGAGTCAAGAAAGTCTTGGGGTTGCCTTCAATATGTCAAATTTAGTTGTATCTCGTCACATTGTCAAACGATGTTGCAACAAAGATGATAGTTTTGAAATAGCTGTCTCCAATTCAAGAGCTTTACTCTTACACCCTGCCTTGTCTGAATCGCGCTAGATGACGTCTTAAGATGCAGTGCCACCTTCTTTGAAAATCGAGAAACCTTTCCAACAAAAAGATCGAAAAACCTTATTGTCAGAACCAAAAATGTTTCTGTCGGTTTTTATTTTGCTCTAGAGGAACTTAAATCAAAAAAGAAGTCGTCGATACGAATTATTTTGAATTGGGTCTAATTATAGCTTCTGAGCAGTGCTAAATACTATCTATCGTAGGAACGGTTTCGTTTAAAAAATATGTTCACAAATGATTTTCTTATCTGTGAAGAAAGTCCAAGTGCATGTCCTCCCACTTCTAAAATGCTACCTTCACTCTTCTCCTCTTTCAACCTCTCGTTGTTCTCTTGCTCATGGTGTTGTCTTTATTTTCCAAGATGTCTCACCCTGAAGTCGATAGAAAATAAAATACATAAGAAGGAAAGCTAACATAAAAGCACATGGATAAAATTTATGAGAAGCTGCGAGCCAAAAACCTCAAAGGGTAGAGTTTTCGGCTCCGACATTCCATATTTCAAAGATTTTTGAAACACAAATATTTTGCACCTTGTTTAGGCGTGTGTTACAGTGGCGTTGAGCAACAAAATCAGCCCATCTTTTGCAAGCAGTTTACGTTTTAACATTCAATTTAATAGTGCTTTCTATCGATTACTCTGGCTGTGTTATACTTATTTTAAGCGTCTGCTACAGACGACATAAAGAGTTAAACCTTCTCGACGCGAAACGTGAATTGCTTCAGCAAGTTCACGTGTTAACATCTGAAGCAAACATCTTCAAAATTTTTTACGCCTTGACGGTCAAAAGTAGTAAAATTATCATGAACTGGTACTCACCATAAAGTAAACTACAAAGAGATTCTCCAGTCCAAACGCTTTCGAAGTCACAAATGGCTCTTCGAGAAGAACGGAACTAAGTCCTGCAAACTAAATCCAACGAACACGAACTCGTTTAATTGACAAACTACGTTACCCACGCATGCAACTCGTCATGAATATGGAAATAGAATTTGAGCCAATTGCCAGCAGATGCGTCACATATTTTTCACGAGAGAGCCGTGTCTCAGCTGCATATTTGCTGCATATTTGCTGTATATTTGTTGTAGATTTCCTGCATATTTTTTACATATTTTAGGGGCGTTTTGTTATGTTAACTAACTTTCCTTTAGCAACAAAATCCCACCATGATTGAAATGCCACGGGTTTTTATAGCAGTTGTTATTATGAAAAGGAAATTAAAGGGAAAAAAGGAAATCTTTTTTCTCAATAGATGTTGATTGAGGAAAAAGCTAAACGGACGGGGCGTTGTTGTGATGAAAACCAACTTAAATGGGAAAAACAGGTCTTTGAACACGTATCTACACGCAAATTTCTAACGAAATACAGAAGAAAACAGAACACAGGGGATTAAAACTGCATCCGCCACCGGATTCGCTTCACATTACTCTACCAACTGTACCACGAAGGTTGCGCGAATTAGTATAGTATACGATAGATATTTTATAAGATCAGTTATGTCAAAGTGTCCTGTGCGTAGAAATAGGAAAAATGGTAAATAACCCCTTTAAACATGGCTTGCGACCGGCGAGTTAGAGCTTGTAAGGATCTGAGTAGGTATAACGTATAACAAAGAAAGCGCATGTCACAGGTGTGGGTTGTGGGAAAGTCAGGGTCCAGCCGTAAGGAATACAACCTCTTTGCGACTGATGTCGTGAGCCAATGCGTGGTGACTGATGTCGTGAACCAATGCATGGGAATGGTTCGAAGGGTAGTGGCAAGGTGAACTAAGTTCAGGAATATTTAAGCAATACATTGATGAGAATTGATTTGTAATCAGTTAATTTAGATCACTTGCCTATTTTCAACTGTCTGCTCCGTTTCTCGACGACCCCATGGCATTCCTACAAACTGTCAAATTCGCCAGGATTCCACTGTCTCCAAATGTCCATAATGAGCGTGAAATGAAAAGACACAGGGGCTTTTCCTAAATGCTGTGGCCTTGCGTAGGAATAGGAAACACCCAGAATGTCATTCACTGCAATAACTTGTGGTTTTGAGAAGAAGAAGAGGGAGTGGGACTTAATATTGATCAATTTTAAAGGAAGAGGTGAGACGGTAATAGCGTAGGGTGGGGAGGGGGGTGGGGGGTTAATTTAAAACGGAAAAAGGTATAGAGAAGGTTATGGGGGGGGGGAGTTTTGATCGTTTGATTTCTAAATTACACTGTACATTTCATATTTTAATCCTTACTATGTTGTTATGTTACAGTCTCGCTAATCAATTAAAAGCATCGACATCAAAGTGTATAATCAACAATCAGGAAAGTGAGTGAACATGGATTCTGTTTTCCATTTAGCCATAGACTACGATCATTCCTTCTCTCCCTCAGTAATCCGTCGCGAAATCCAAACATTCTGGCATCTCGTGAACTTCGAGAAGCAAGGCGCACTCTTTCCCGTGCACTGCTTCCACATTATCTCGGCGCACAGGGATATTATTTCACCGATTTCTATCGACTCGCGCGTAGGATTACATTGGGGAAAAAAGGGAATGCCAGCTCGTAATATATCCGTGAATCAAAAAAGCAAAGCGGTATTGCAGGATATAATTGCATAATATAATATGCCGGTATTTCTCCCAATAACTATCTCATGTTCGAATCTGTGATAGCTTAAAGTTGATTTAAATATTATTGCGCAAGGGCACTTTTAACATTGTAATCATGATTGAGAATTATTTTTTCGCTGATAATTGCGAATAAATTCAATAATTCTAGCTAGTTAGGGTCCCTCATGGAAATAAGAAAGCCTGCGAGCCTATTAAGCTCCTCAGTAAGTGTTTTTCTTTACCTTAAACATGTCTTTGTCTCACAATTTGAACGACTCCTCATGATCACACAACTCATCCTCTCCTCCCATCTGCAATACGGGCTCTCCTCCAAGTTCCCGGATGATCTTGTCAAGCGATTGAACGCGCAAATGCATAGAAGTTTGGGTTAACCCTGGAGCCTAGGCCAACCACAGAGTACCTTTAAAGTTGAAAAATAGGTCTGTCCTCACATGCGGCATATTATGAGAAAGCGGCTTTGCTCTTCTGTAACATAAAATAACATTCAATAACACGAACACGTTGTAAATCATTATTTCAATGAAGCAGACCAAACAAAAGCAACCAATGGTGCAAATCAACCTACGGGGTCTCTGTTCGTGTAAGAGAAAACCTCTAATCTTGGACCTTCATACACTTCGATTTCATTTGCACCCCTGTTGGTTAAAGTTGTCTGTATTTGATTTTGTTCATGGCTGGTTCGAATTCTAACCATTTGTTTAGACTGGTCCCTTTGGTCAGGAGCTACATCCACTAAACGTGATTTGTCTAATATACGATTTTAGAACAATCACCAGTATAGGAATTTCTGGTTGTCTCGTGTTTTTGTAAATTATTTTTATGTATGATTACCTGAGGTTGGCAAGTGGTTGACTGTTGTTCATTAATCTATTCTTTTTTTCTTTTTCACTTTCTGAACCAACAGGCTGCCGAGCTGTTTCATCATGTTGCGCGACGACTTTTAAGAACATGTGACAGCGAGGAAATAATATCGAAATAATCTGCATTACCTTTTTAAGATTAGATAACGAGCGAAATAACAATAATAACAGAGTTAATAATAATAAAATAAAAAACTGTAAAGAGAGGCTCTTGAAAGTTTTTTTAAGGACGAAACACACTTGTTAAGTAAAGAAAAAAATAAACATTGAATGAGCTTCCAGGGCTGTGCCATCTTCTGTTCTTCTTAGCGTACATCAAGATGTTTGCCTTTTAGAGGTAGTTAGAGGGAGACAATTCAACCTAAGAAAATTTAACTTACCCATCTGGTGGATGGCGGAGTTCGTACAAGCACCGAACGAATTCCTGGGTAGAAAATCATAGATGCAAATTTCAGCAAAAATCCGCTTCATTTGGTACTGGCTACAGGGTGATGCAGTGGTCGTAAAGGTTTGTATGCCGCCTAATTTGAAGAGTCGGTTGTGAGGGTGATGTTGTCCCTATAAGTCGCAGGGTAGGATGACTAGGAAGCTTACATCTCATCTAGTTCAAGATGGCNTTCGTCGACCTTGTGAGTGCGGAACTGCGGATGCACTAGTTTGACGGCCCAATCATTTCATTATTCTTCGAACTCGGGAAATGTGGAATGCATGACCACTGGTTTAAATGTCCTCTCTCTCAATAAAATTTTTGGACATTGGACCGCGGGACCAATCCATTCATAACGGTCAAAAGTGACCGGGTATTCTGAAGTTTCTCTCATCAACATCTCAAGCAATGCTTGATTCAAAATTATGCTATATTCCACTCAGTCTCCTCCAGATCGAAGAATAACCATAGTCGTACGTGATAATAACTCCACCGCTTTCCCACCAAGACTAATACGTTTTCTTAATTCGCGAACCGCCCATTCCAAGTAACGCGTTGATTCTCTGAAATTTGAAGGCCTGTCAAACCGAAAATTGCCAAGAACGCTCAGATTGGTGCAACATAACAGACTACTACAATCTGATTGGTTAGTGATACAACAAGTGAGCCAATCACATTGCTTTGAGATACAGCAAAACAAAACAAAAAAAGACAAAAAATGCGCCAATCAGATTGCTTTCAGTTGCACCCAAAATTGCGCCAATAAGATTGCTTAGAGATACACCAAAATCACACCACTCTTTACGGTAACAGAGTTTTTTTTTTTAACAACTCCATAAATGTCACAGAATTACTACAGAACGAACCATATGTTTTGTAAGGTGTTCCAAGAATGGCACTGTGAAACTAAAAAGTGCAAGTTTTTTGCTAACTTGAAAATTGATGGTAGAGAATGTTCACTTAGAACGGAACTATAGTGAGGAGTGGTGACAAAGATAAATGTCATAATTGTTAAACTTTATTGTACACTTTTATACCCACCTTTGGAGACTCATGTAAATTGGTTGTATATGAATTGACATAGTTTGTGTCTGGAAAAAGTTAACTAGTAACGTGTTTATTTAATGTAACAAGTGACATATAAAACTTAATGATTTTAGTATAATTCACACTCTTGACCGGAATCTCCTTTCTGCTGTGTTCAATGCTACTTTTAACTAAAAGAATAAACCTTCAGAATTTATGTTGGAACTGAAAACTATAACAAACAAGCTCTAGTAAACTTGATCCTGCACTAAGTTTTAACTTTTACTAGTTACAAAGACTAAATCTAATTCACATTTCTTGTTGACTTTGCAATGTTAATGCTGTTGACAAAAGCCTAGTGTAACCAGACGCTTGAAGCCCTGCTACGGCTGCTTGTGAAAGTTGCTTTGAAGGTTAAAGCGAACAAAACTTATCATTATGGAACAGTTGTCACTTCTATGTTTTCAGTGCAAAGATCAGGAAATGTTGAGTCAGCATCAGGAACCTCCAGTATCTGCTGCTGATGCTGCAGTAAAACAAAAATGCAAAACGTAATTATAATAAAACTTGGTAAACTTTAAGAACAGATAATGTATTAGCTTTAGATTTAAGAACAGATATTGTATTAGCTTTAGATTTACTTATATATATACATATAAATTCTGTATACGAGGGAAGCCCTGACCCTGTACACCCCAAGTAATCATATGTAAATAGAATAAATGTTTGAAAGGAAACAATGTTTGAGTATATAAATATATAAAATAAATGTTTGAATAATTATATATATATATAATGTTACTAATCTTACTATAATATTACAATAATTTAATGTAGGCTTTGTAACTGAAAAACCCAGCTTGGGAGTTGCAATAAACGTATGTATGTATGTATGCATGCATGCATGCATGTATGTATGTATGTATGTATGTATGATGCTTCATTAATGACATCTGATTGTTGTTTGTGCTTTTCAAGAATCTTGTTGTTATGAAAGACACCAGCTACATATTCAGGATTGTCATCAGAAACCAATAGGCAACAGAAACCCACCAGCAGAGAGATCAATTTAGGTTTGCCCCTTTGTAAATTGTGATAAATGACGGAAAAGACGTATTTTTGAACTGATTGTTGCGCCAATGTATGGCTAAATA